GTTCAGTCGCTCAGTCGTGTCTGACTCTTTGCGACCTCATGGACTGCAGCACGCCAGGCTTCCCTGTCCATCACCAACTCCTGGAGCTTGCTCAAACTCATGTCCATCAAGTCGGTGATGCCATCCAACCATATCATCCTCTGTGGTCCCCTTCTCCTCCTGCCTTCAATCTTTCCCAGCATCGGGGTCTTTTCCAGTTAGTCAGTTCTTCGCATCATGTGGCCAAAGTATTGGAGTTTCAGCTGCAGCATCAGTCCTTCCAAAGAATATTCAGGACTTATTTCCTTTAGGATGGACTGGTTGGATCTCCTTGCAGTCCAAGGGACGCTCAAGAGTCTTTTCCAACACCACAAGTATAGTATCATTTTAATGCCCTTAGCTCTCTATTCCCTTAGTTAGTTCTTTACCACAAGCAATAATGGAATGATTGTATTTTCTTTCCTTTCCTTGTCATATTTCTTAGTTTTCCTACATAGCTCATAGAAGAGGCCACCAGTGATAATCAATAAACATTGATTAACTGCTACACTTTTCTAAAAACAAAACCGAATGAAACACACACTCAATGTCTAGAAAAAAATCTCCCTTCTCTTTCATCCTCTGCCTGAATATCTTATGTTGGCTTGACTAGAACCAGCTACCAGTCCTGTTTGAAAACATTTTCTCTGGACCTAAAGACAGAAATGTGGACCTTGGAGAATGAGAACTGCTGTATGTAGGAGCACCTGTCACACCCATGTTCTCCTCTTTGATCCAGCTCCTGATTTCTCCATTGCCCAAGCTCTGGGCAATCAGAGCAGCAATAAAACCAGCAATCAGTGGGAGTTACCAGGACTGGATCTCAAAACTGTTCCAGGGACCTGGCCTCATCAAGTACAAAGGTTACAAGATTGAAAGGACTAGAGGTACGAGTCAAGAAATAGAAGTACATTTTAGAGACACAGCTGATTACCAGGATGCGTCCGCAAACAATAAATGCTGGAGAGGGTGCAGAAGAAAGGGAACCCCTCTACACTGTTGGTGGGAATGTAAATTGGTACAACTACAACCACGATGGAGAACAGTATGGAGGTTCGTTAAAAAACTAAAAATAGAGCTGCAAATATGATCCAACAATCCCACTCTTGGGCATATATCTGGAGAAAACCATAATTTGAAAACATACATGTACCCCAACATTCACAGCAGCACTATTTACAATAGCCAAGATATGGAAGCAACCTAAATGTCTGTTGACAGAGGAATGGATAAAGAATATGTGGTGCACATATACAATGGAGTATTACTCAGTCATAAAAAAGAATAAAATAATGCCATTTGCAGCAACATGGATGGATCTATAAATAAAAGTTACCTTATTAAGTGAAGTAAGTCAGACAGAAAAAGACTAATATCATAAGATATCACTTATATGTCAAATTTTTTTAAAAAATGATACAAATGAACTTATTTACAAAACAGAAAAAGACTTATAGACTTTGAAAACAAACTTATGGTTACCAAAGTGGAAAGGGAGGGATAAACAAGCAGTTTGGGATTAACATAAACATACTACTGTATAGCATAGGAAACTCTACTCAATATTCTGTAATAATCTAAATGAGAAAAGAATTCGAATAAGAGTGGACATATGTATACATACACACACTTTGTACAACAAAGTGAATCACTTTGTTGTACACCTGAAACTAGCTCGACACTATGAATCAACTACACTCCAGTATAAAATAAAAATTAAAGAAGAATGAGCCCAAAGGCCAACCTGACCTCTTGCGCCTGCCTTATCTGCCTGTAGAGTGACCACTGGTCCTAATGAACAGCTTTGTTTTGTGCCTGTTGAGCCAAAGGATTTCAGCTTGGATAACAAATTATAGGCTCACCTCATCCCGAAACCCTGTGTGTGATTGACAAAGGTGCCAGGTAGCCTTGGTCTTCGTTTTCATCATAACTGGAAAGCACACGTGATCTGCCATTGACTAGCTGTCTTTCTGGCTAAGTTAAGTGTCCTAATCTGTAAAATAAAGACAAAAAGAGAGTGAGTTTATTGAGCTCAAAAGTCTCTTTTAGTACATCAGAAGTGTAGTTTTACACAGCTTCATCATTTTTTTCATTAAGATCAAATTATTTAGGTCATGGCTATTTTAAGAGTCAGAATCAAAATGGACAAAAAAGCAATCAGTTGTATGATTATATGCAGACAACAAGCACCATTATTACTGCAAGAGGTTTTCTGGCACTTTCCTTTAGAAAAAAAGAAGGAGAATTAAACATTCTATTGATTTTTAGAGTTAGGTTCATAGAAAGGTCTTTTCCACCAACGCAGTGATGTGTACAAGGTATGTGGTGTCCCTGAGGACAGCAGGTCCTGCTTGACAGGAACTAGGATTTGATAGGGATGGTTCATGTGCTCACAAAAATCTCCAGCATAAGAGTTTCAGGCAAAAGCCAATATGTGGGTGGCTCTGAGGGCCTTAATTAAAAGGTCAATCAATTTTTTCCAAGGTAATTTTATAGTGTGCATTAAAAGAATTCATGATCTGTTCTCTCCGTTTGGGTGGAGTTCAAACCTACTGGAGCACATGGTCCTGTGTCTAAGGAACAACAAGTAACAACAGATACTCATTAGACAAAGTTGCATCAACCTGACAGACATTGCAGTCCACCCCCACCTCCAACTTCTTCATTGTAGTCCACCCCCACTTCCAACTTCTTTTAGAAATTATCTTTAAGGGGAAAAGACTCTTGATAAGACTCAGAGCTTTGGACTCTCCTGTTTGGGAAAATTCTTCAAAGTATCTCAGTATACATCCCTTCTCTCAAATGAGTTGGTCATTTGCCTAATTCCTCTCTAGATGCTGCCACCCCTCCAGACCAAGAGTCAGCAAACTTTTTCTGTAAAGGGCCAGGTAGCAAATATTTCAGGTTTAGCAAGCCATATGATCTCTGTAGTAACTGTTCAACTCTGCAGTTAGAGCCATAGATAATACCTAAGTGAATGGGCATGGCTGCGTTTTAATATAATTGTATTTATGAACACTAAACTGGAATTTGAATTTCTTATAATTTTTATGGGTCATGAAATGTTATTGTTTTGATTTTCTTTCAATCATCTGACAATATAACAATTGCTGTTAGCTGGCAGGTTGTACAAAAATGAGTGAACCAAACTAGGCCCATGGGCCATAGCTTGCCAACCTCTCTTCTATATCATGAACAACTTGAGGACAGGGACTCAATCATAATCATCTTACTATCTCCTAGGATTTCACTCAGTATCTGACACTTCCGAGGCATCCAAAACGGTGGAGGAAGAAGTGAGCAATGGAGACCATGAAAAAGACAGCAGATGCATCCATCACACTATAAAATTGATGTGTGAGAGCTAATAGTATCATTTTGGAGTCAGAAAGACCTGGGTTTTACTCGCAGGTCCACCATTTTCTGGTTTGGGCCGAGGCAAGCAAGTGAATATCCGGCTGCATTTTTGTGTGTGTGTGTAAGTAATAGAAAAACAACCAAAGGTGGTTTGAACATAGCAGATATTCACTGTCTCGCTTACCAAGAAGCTTAGACATAGTGGTTCCAAGGCTTGTTCGGTGGCTCAACAATGTCACTGAGGTCACACAGTTTATATTCTGACATCCTGAGCCATTGACTTTTCATCTGTATGTGTGTCACCTATGGTCACAAATGGCTGTCCCAGTTTTAAGCATATTTGCATGTTCAAGCCAGGAATTTGAGGACAGAGGAAGTGCCAGCTCAGTCTCCTTTTATCCTGCTATCAGGAGGCCATTGTCTTATCTAGAACATTCCAAGCAGGTATCATTTACGTTCTCCTTGTGCAGACCTGGGCTGTGTGGCAAAGGAGGCAATCCTTTACTGCGGGAAGCAAGGGAAGATGGAATTGGGGATGGTTTGGGGAGACACTTAACAGTGTCCATCTCACAGTCTGTTGTGAGGACAAATGAGGCGATGTGTGAGCAGCACTGGCACGCGAGTACTCAGTCAACTTCAGCTACCATTATCAGTAGGACTAACAATAGCTTCAAAATCCTAAAATATAATCCCTGCACTGTCAGTATGAAAACTGTAATTTCTCAGATGAAGTTAGAAAGCCTCCATACTCTCATTTCACTGTAATTACATACAGTTAAAATTAATGAATATTGAATTGGAAGAGAGAGAATGTGTATGTATGTATTGGGTTATCAATTTACTTTATACTATTCTATATGTACATGGAGCTATATATACACATATATACGCATTAAAATTAAATGACAAAAACCTGGTGATGCCAGGTATGCTCCACATCCTGCTTGTTAAATTAGATAACTCAGTCACTTTCCCCAGGCTTAAAATCTGAGTCATCCTTCCCTCTCTTTTTGCCTTCCCTGGCCAGTCAATAAGCCCTATAGATTTTTCACTACAATATGTCTCATATTTGTTCTCTATTTTCCAGAACCCAAGCACAACCTTTATCACCTCTTGTCCAGATGACTGCAATAGACTCCTAAGTATTCTTCTGTCCCTAGTTGCTCTGTCTGCTACCAAACCAATCCATTCCCTCCTTCTTCCCAGAGTTATCTTCTGGAAGCAAAGCTCTGACCATGCCATTTTCTTGCTCAAAAACTTTCAATGGTTTACCAATGCCTTCAAATTTCAAACTCCTCATGTTATTCAAGGTGTTCCTGACCTGTCCCCAACCTCCTTTTCTTGTCCTCTCTTCTCCTCACTCACATGCACAGTACAGCTCACTTAGAACTTGCCTTCTGTTCTTCGAAACACCCCTCCCCCGTCCCCATGCATCATTGCTCACACTGCTCCCTCTCTGCTTTTCCAGATATAGGAATGATGGGTAGTTTCCATTTTAAGTTACAATGAAACTCTGCTTGTGGGTGACTACAAGAAGTTTGGAATTTTATGGACTATAATTTGTGTAAAACTGTCTGATTAACTCAATAAACAGTAAATAATTGCCTCTGATGTTTTTCTAGTCCAGGGATAGTTAAATGTGCTGATGATCTACAACTTAAAATTGAAATGCCCTATCCATCAAATGAGTTGGGAAGGAGACACCTGATTCAGGCCAGCAGACTCAGCATCTGGACATTGCTGGGACCCGGTTGGAGCTCAGCTTGGTTCTCTTTATAGAGATGTCAGAAGGCTTTTGTATGGCAGAGGGTTGGAGTTTTCTGTGCTGGTCCAGCTGGTGTAGTAGTGGTAGAGTGGTAA